TACCAGAGGGGAAGGAGTGCTAGAGGAAGGGCGAACTGGGTAAAGGGGATCAACTATTATGGTGGGTGGCGAAGACAGTTATTCCTAGAGGAACAGAGTATGGAAATAATACCATTTCCATGTTTGATGTATTGCTATATACTTTTTAGTTTCTTTCACTAACAGAATTATAAGAAATTACATGAACATGACAAGAAATATACCTAATTTGCACAGTGCATATGATAAATAGGAAGAAATAAAATATTAATTCAGTTGTAGACAGTACAGTTTATTTTCACTAAAGATTTTTTTTATCTATTACTACCTTGCAAGTGAATAATTGAGCTTTGTAATAAATCTCTTTATAGGTCAGTTACATTGCATTTCATGGGAATAGAAGCCAATATATGTCATTTGAGGTAAAAAAAAATGGTTGAGGAATTACTGTTTTCTGAGAAAAACACACAAACATTTTGTAAACTTCACTGAATACTTTACCAACTCTACTTTTATCTTAGGAGAGTTAAGAAACTGAATAAGCATCAGGTCATTATGGCTTAATGTATTGGCACAAAGCATTTGCTAGCATTCTAATAATTGGTATTATGTGTAAGCTTATTTATTTTATAACAATGTACTTTGATAGATTGCTAAACTTCATAGTCACTATTGGTATATCACAATATAGAGTCAAAAGCCAATGAATCTTGGTGTAAAACACCTGAATTCCTAAGTCAGCTAGAGATTCATTTATACTTTGAGAGCTTACTAGTATTTTTCAGCTCTGTCTGAGGTTGAAAATGAAATTATTTAACTTTTCCAAGCACTGCTATAAAATTAACAATATAAAACTTGGAAGGTTTCATTATTAATATAAATACAATGTCTTTAAGTATTTTGTTGTTACATTTGTGCCCTTTTTCAGAAAACCTTTTTGAATTTGTAAGGGTATAGAGAATTGAAAAGAACAATTATACCTTGAAAAACAATGTTTTAACTATTCTAACATATTAACTCAGATTGGTGGTGGGTACTAAATTGAATACTCAATTAGGTTATAATCTTAATTTACATTGCAGAAACAAATTGCAACCCAAGTCTGCTAAGCATAATTGGGTACAATACAACAAGCATTGTCCCAAAGGATGGAGAGTCTGTCCAGTGGTGGCATGCTCAAGGAATTATAGGACTAATCCTCTTTTTGTTGTGTGTGTTTTATTCAAGGTAAGAAAAATTACGGAATTTTTTTAGACAAGAAGTCTATAGATATTCATTTATAAATCATTTTTTAATGCCCTTTTTCTTCTCTCTTCCTAAACTGTCTTTCCATTCAGCATCCGTACTTCGAACAATAGTCAGGTAAATAAACTGACTCTAACAAGTGATGAATCAACATTAATAGAAGATGGTGGACCCAGAAATGATGGATCACTTGAGGATGGAGATGATGTTCACCGAGCTATAGATAATGAAAGGGATGGTGTCACTTACAGTTACTCCTTCTTTCACTTCATGCTTTTCCTGGCTTCCCTTTATATCATGATGACCCTTACCAACTGGTACAGGTACATATATTTTGTTAAACTGCATGTGGAAATTCTGATAGCTTTTTCTTAATTCCATTGCAAAATATGGTCTGAAGTACTTTTTATCCTTCAATGTATTTCAAAACTCGCAAAATGAATATTGAGATTAGTGTGTGAAATGTACTTTACTTCCGTGCTTTTGTGGTAACATTGAAATACTTACAAATCTTGTAGATTAAAATATGAAACTACTATTTCCTATAGAAATACATGTTGGTAGTTTATCCAATAGCTTATTTTTTAAATTCCCGACAAAATACAGTAAAAGATATGTCTTCTGGTTTGTTCAAACCTTGTCATTAAGGCTTTAAAATTGAAGTGTGAATACATTAATGTAGATGGTTCCATAGAACTTCTTCAAAACTAATTTATGCTTTTTTTTAATCCATAAATCCTTTTCTGATGAGAGGAAGGTAGCAATTTATATTATTTTTGAAAATTCAAATTTTGTCCAAATGATTACTGAAAGATTTGATCTAAGATTCAAGGTGAACTATATGTTTTGGGCAGTTGTGTTTTTAATAATTTTTAATGCATAATACCTTTAACTTGTAATAAGACTTTAAGTACCAGCAAAAAAATTAGAAAAAAATTACTCTGCTTCATTTCTTTGAGAGCAGCCTTTACTGACACTTACTATTGAAAAATGAACATTTAAAAAAATTTCTACAGTGTAACATATTAAGTGTAAGAATCCACATAGTTCTCAGTAATTCACAGCTCTGGCTTGCAGGTAATAAGAGTAAATTTAAAAGACTTTATATCAAAAGTATACTTGCTATGTTTCATTAACACAAAAATCAGCTAGGTTTGGGATGTATATCCTTCCCAGTCTTAAATCTGAGAGGGGGATGAGGGAGGAGTGAGTTCCCCGTATGTGCTTTGAACAGATACAGTACAGGATTGATATGTCTTGTGTGTTATAACATCTTACTTATCTAGAGGTTATGCTCCATTTCTCTGCTGTCATAACCACTAAGCTAGAAATACACAGAAAGCCTCTGAGTGTTATGTAAAAAACTACTTTAGATGCCTGTCTTTTACTCCTTTTAAAGAAAATTGCTTTTTAGCTTCACATTATTATTATAGTACGGAAAGCAAGACAAACAGATTAGTCAGCAACTATAGTATCTGTTATCACTAACTGTATACAAAGAACACTTATGAAATAATGAGGTAGCTTGATGGCTGATCATTCAATACCTCTCCTTTTTGTTTTCTTTAAATTTCAGGTATGAGCCTTCTCATGAGATGAAAAGTCAGTGGACAGCTGTCTGGGTGAAAATCTCTTCGAGTTGGATCGGCCTTGTACTCTATGTTTGGACACTGGTGGCACCACTTGTTCTTACAAATCGTGATTTTGACTGAACAGGACATCCAGCATGAAAGTCCCAGTTTGATCATTGCTTATTGGAAATTAATAGTATTTCCAACTTTCGTAAAGTTGTGTATGTGTGTGCTTCCCATAAAACTTCTCCAGTGTTCTGGCATGAGATTTTGCTGCTTGCCATTTTATTCATTGTATTCTTGCCAAGTGCATTGATAGGTGTGTTAGAATGAATCACAGAGGTTTTATGAGTATGGTGGAAAGTTAGGGAAAGTGGACATTAGGTTCATCTTGTTCTGTACCTGTGAAAATAATAGTAAAAAGAGAACTTGACAATTTTAAATTTTGTTAGAACTGAAGCTGTATCTTAGAAAGTATAAAAGGAAGTGGCTGCCTTTTGAAATACTTGATGCCTTGCCTTACAGGAGATTGCAAAGAACATGGGCTATTTAAAAATTATGTAAACAAATCACTTAAATGGCAGTTGTCTGAAAAATCTTTTCAGGTTTTTCCATTATATAAATATAGGAAACTTATACAGGTGGGGAGTGTTTGAGGGACAATAATGTAGGTTATGATGAAGATTGAGATTTCAAAGAAAGATTGGTGGTGAGCACTAAATTAAATACTCACTTAGGTTATAATCTTCCTTGGGTAGAGATGGCCTTCCACACCAACATAGTGAAACTTGTTTTGGTCATTGTAAACATGTGCAAAAGTAAGGGGTTAATGGAGATGCTGGGAACTCTGAAGGATGTAGACAAAAGTTTTGAAAAGGATAATCATGAATTAGAAGGAAGTTGGTGAAAATCACCTTGAAAGTTCATTTTGAAAATCAAAGGTGTTAAACTTTTGACAGGACAACAAGAAACTGCAAATAGTAGGCTTTAGTAGATACTTAGACAAAATCTAGTCCAATCCTCCTGTTTTAAAAATGAAGCAACTGAGGCACAGACTTAACTCAGATAGCTAATTAGTGGCAAAGCTGGGAAGTCCTAAGCCAAAATAGCTGACATTCAAAACTTAATTCTATTAACAAAAAACAAAAAGAAAACACATAATAGATTTTACACGTGAGTACTGGTGGGTAATTTATGTGATGTGGATTGCTGGTGTCCAGCTTGCCTTCTACTTTTAAACTAAGGTCACGAGAATGATGGAATGCTGTACAATAAACTGCTTATAGTATACTATACAGTTCAAAAAGTGTTTAAAATGCTTTTGTATCTGCTGCCACCTAATTAATATGTATAGGTTATTATAATCTTAAAAATCAAGCAGTATAACAGCCAATTAGAAATTTAGTTACTTGTGTCATTAGTGAGTATATTAATCTATATTTACTTCTTTTAATGTATTTATTAATTTAAACGAAATACAACAATTCAACTTAATCCCCCCTTATTCTGTATTGATATTGTGTTCCATGATTTGACTGACTGTATTCTCTCTCTAAATAAATGAATTAAGAGAAAGTGCGCAGTGTATTAATTCTTTATCAGCTCAAATTTAGGTGACTTTAATACTCAGACCTGTGTTCCTCCTGTGTACAAAAGAACCTGGCACTAGAGCAGTGATGGCGAACCTTTTGAGCTCAGCATGTCAGCATTTTGAAAAACCCAAACTTAACTCTGGTGCCGTGTCACATACAGAAATTTGATATTTGCAACCATCGTAAAACAAAGACTTATATTTCTGATATTTATTTTATATATTTAAATGTCATTTAACAAAGAAAAATCAACCAAAAAAATGAGTTCATAGGTTCGCCATCACTGCACTAGAGGGTTAACTGACCATTTTCTCTCCTGAAAAATAGTATTAAAGGTGATATTTACTCTTTTTGTCCTCTGAAAGTAACCCCTACCATTAGATCTTAAAGGTGATTAAAGTTGGGTTCTCCTGAAGAACTTTTAGGTGGATCAGCTTAGTTTGGAGAATATTTTTAATTCTCTTGAAAATTCTATACCTGCTGTATCCTTCAGGCATTTTTTTCCTAAGTTGCCATTTGATGATTCTTTCTCTTATTCTTAGGATAGTATTTTTTTAAATCCTTTACTAAAAAAAAAAAAAAAAAATTAATAAAATGCTCTATTCCATATGAATTAGAAGTTTTATTACATTTTATTCAGTAACTCATTTGAAATGGTCTGAGTTTCTCCAATATTATACACAAAACAATGTCCACAAAACTCTTGGATGTTTACCCAGAACTAATGTTCACACAAAAAATTACATAAATATTCATAGGAGCCCAACAGGTTAAGGTTTAAACACAGTGGTACATCTGTATCATGGAACACTACTTTAAAAAGAGTGAACTACTGGTACAACTTGAATGATCTCCAGGGCAGTATGCTGGGTTATAAAAACTAATCCCAAATGGTCACATATGGTGGTGTACTTATATAGCATGCTTGCAATGATAAAATTAGAGAAACGGAGGACAGGTTACTGGTTCCCCAGAGTCAGGGATGAAGGGATAGAGGAATCCTTGTGGATGGGTTAAGTGTTTAGTTTTATAAATTGCCAAACTATTTTCCAGAGTGACAGTAGCATTTCATAGTCACACCTTTGATTTGAGTTGTTTCTTTGGATTTTTGCATTTGATATCACTTACTTTAGCTGTCCTGAGAGAAATGTGGTATCTCATTGTGGTTATAATTTGCCTTTCCCAAATGGCTAATGGACAATATCTTTTCATGTGCATATATGCCATCCATGTGTCCTCTGGTGAAATGTCGATTCATGTCTTTTTGGCCTTTTTCTAATTGGATTGTTTTTTTTTTTAATTTGTGTTGAGTTTTTTATATATTTTAGGTACTTGTACTTTATCAGATATGCAGTTTGCAAATATTTTCTCCCAGTCTGTAGCTTTGTCTTTCCATCTTAACAGGGTCTCTGCAGAGCGAAAGTGTTTAATTTTGATTGGATTCCATTGTCCTTGTCTTGCTGCCCAGTGACATCTCTAAAAGCATCCTTATTTACTGGGCAAAAGCTGTTCTTCTTCACCCTCAATTTTCTCAGGTATATATTTAGCATAAAGAGAGCTTCTGTTAATTTTGTAGTTATTAGAACCAATAGGATACATATATGGAAGTGGCTCACTGATTGCAAAGCTGATGGGTTTAAAATCTAGCTGGCAGACAGAAACACATAAACTGACGTGTGTAAGGCAGTGGCGCCATGGCCACTTGGGTGGTTTTTGAGATGGCATGGAAGATATTGTTGAACCTTTGGGCTCACAGAAATGTTCCTTTGACATTCCAATCTAAGTTAAGGTTAACGGTGAGAAGTTAACATTGACAGTATGTACCTTGACATATATTGAAAATGGCACTTCACCTCTGTAGTCTTTCCCAAAACCTAATAACCCCAGTCTAACCATGAAAAAAAAATCAGGTAACCCCAAATGGGGGAACACTACAAAATACCAGGCACTGTTCCTCAGAACTGTCAAAGTCTAGCTTATTTGTATTATAGTCTGTTTGATAGCAATTTCTTGAAATAGGTTGATTTTGCTCTACTGCCCAATGTGCAACCAGTTCTCAAAAAAAAAAAAAAATTCCTATCTGTTTGAAACAAAGGTCTAGGTGCTAATTCTTAAATGTAGGATTCTGTACATGTTCATCAAAATGTCATACAACAAAACCAACTATATCATAGGCTAATTGATATAAACAATTGTTAAGTTCATCTGGCATATTTCTGTTCACAAAAACATCACCAAACTTCTAAAGACCCCAAATACTTCTAGTATTACACACAGAAATGTGTTCTATACATACATTTAAGAAAGATGAATAAAAACAAGATAATTATTTTCTAGTCTGCTTATTCCAGTTCATGTGCAGGTGGCCAGAGCCTATCACAGCAGCTCAGGGCTCCAGGTGGGAACCAAAGTTGGTCAGGACACCCTTCCATCACGGGGTACACTCACACCCACACCCACACTCTACTGAGACAATTTATTGACAGTGATTAACCTCACGTGCACATCTTTGGGACATAGGAGGAAACGAGTCCTAGAGAAAATCCACGCAGACATGGAAAGAACATGCAAACTACACAGTGGCCCCAGCTGGGAATTGATTTCCTCATCAACGTTATAACGAAACAACAGTGAATGAAATAATGGAGGACCAGCTGTAGCGACACACCTTGAATAAAACGTTTAGCTCTCTGTAAGTTACAAGCTACATCCTATTTTATCTCTCTGAGGTAGAAGAAAGTTGGAGGGGGATAGAGATGGGAGTTACCCTCTAAATTAACTGTCTTCATATGATGGTAATTTATTTTCCAAGTAGTACACAGAGACTTTCTCTGGTAAACACAAACCAAATTATTTTTAAAGGAATCAGTTTCCAGATCTCCATTTCATGCGTACCTTCCTAAACTTGACCTGCCTGAAAAGATGCCTCAGGACAAGGCTTTATCCCCCTTAACAATTATTCTTTTCACATTAGACAAAATAGATACACCTTCTATCCATTCTGAATCTTAAAATGTCAACTTAAAATTACTAAGGGATATGAAGTTTTCCATAATCACTTTAGAATACTTTCACAGCTCCAAAATTTCCCCAAAGAGAAGAAACTTGATCATATCCCAGTGAGGAAGGGAAGAGAAAAAGAAAAGGTCTCTAAAGTTCTCTCTCCAAGTCAACTCTTTTCACCTGAAAACGTCTAGAAAGCTTATGCAGAAAACTATTCTGAGGTCTTTAATTAGTTCACTAAGATCCCATTGTCTGAGCCAAATATTTTAGAATCTGCTAAGAAAGGGTTTTCTATTCCTGTGCTAGGCTTTACTTTGAATTTTTGCATCATAGCAAGAGAAATTCCAAGATATCAAGAGACAGAATATAGCCAATAGGGAAGCCACCTGTGTAATACCTCATTAGGTAGCCCCATAAAATATTCAGGCAGAATATTCAGGCACCATACTGCTTCTAGCCCCCTGCCTGATCTTCAAGTGATAAAAGAGATGGCCTTATCTTGCATTAAGTGTCTATAATCCTCTGAGCACCTGTCCCAAAGAGACAGTGACCTGACTTTCTCTCAGAACAAAAATTATAGGCCCTTAGTGGCATCCAGTGATAATGTTCTTTACTCATTTGGAACAATGAGAGGCATAATTCTCTCAGTTCTTTATTAGAAACAGAAAGCAAGCCACTATAATTTTTAAACAAAGAACTATAAAACATTAAGTTTAGAGACTTTATATTTCTCCCTTTTTGCAATACAGTCTATCTTTTGAGATGAGGCACAAAGATCATGATGTAACTCATATTAAGAAAGGACAATACAGTTTACAGTTTAAGTCTATCTATCTACTTCGTATGAAAAGGAAAAAAAAAATGGTTCATGTGGATGTCACCTCCAAAGAAGACACATAATAAACACTAGAATGCAACATTCATTATATTTATTTTACTAAATATTATGGTTCAAAAAACAAACCAAAAACTTTTACTTAAAACTAGTCCAACTAGGTGGATTGGGCTGACACCATCCCATCCCCTTCTAGGTATACAGAACTGGAACCATATCAGACAGCAAGCACTCATGTATACTTTGCCTTTCCTGATGAACATGAATGAACTTCTCTGAACCAAGAGAGACAAATGAAGTTTTACAAGATACAGGCACTTTATGTTCCCAGTTTTAAAAATAAGCCAAGTGAAAAATACTTAGTAAAAGTAATTGGAACATAGAAAGCTTTAGGAGTTCTACCATTAATTTTAGTGACTTACACTCAATGCCAACAGACAGCATCAAACAAGTAAAACAAATAAAAGTTTAACCTGGGTTAATGGGCATATATATAAAAAATAATTCAAATTTACTACAATCAGAAAAAAATGCCCACCTGAATCCAACTTAAAGATATGCAATAATGTGCATTACATTTTGTGTACCTATATAGCTGAGTAGTATCTGAAAGCTTTGCAAGACTGTGTGGTTAGTGAGAAAAGCAAAAGGTGCTTTTGATTCCACAGTATCCAATTAAAACAAAACAAAGCAATTTACAAAAAAACGGGTACCAAATAATACTTTAAAATAAATAGTTCATCATTTTGATGAATATATACATGTAGAGTCCACTTCCTGGGAATTTAGCTATCTAAAAGTGGCATATCACTATCCAGAGGTGCAGGAGCCAGTTCACATAAATAGAACAGTGTGGCTTCACTAGCTTCGGCTTCAGTCAACGGCTCCAGGCGAACAAGCTTACTTTGGGTTGGTTCTGGGTCCAGGCTGCTATCCAGAAGCTCATCAACTTCTATGGGCTTATCTACAGAGGACATAACTTCTGATGATGCTGTGCTCCCCTGTTCAACAGCAGAAGCAGGGTTCCCATCAAGGAATGCAAGAAGTGGAAAGGCAGTGTACTGGATAAGCTGTTTATCTATAACAATGATTAGAAAAAAAGCACTTTTATCACCAGCTTATACAGAGTTCAAGATGAAAGTGGAAAATACAAAAACAGAGATCTACTTATGTATAATCACTAACCCAACAAAATAAGAAATAAGGTATTTGTCAGTAAATTAAAAGATGTTCAAGTCAGAAAAGTTAGTCTTTTATTCAACAATTAAGAAATGAAGGTTCTTTTTAAAGTTAAGTAGAAAAAACCCACACACAACTTAAATTTTAAGAACTATTACCTCACCAATTCAATTTTCTCTGTATGCTGGAACCATTATGCAGAGAACTGAGATCAATATATCTGTGTTCAATTGTTAAGAATGGCAAGGAGTTCATTGGCATGCATTAGCTTCTATGTAGGACTTTTACTTTTGAAATTCTATAGAAATTAGTACTACATTTATACCTACCTGTTTTGGGTTTAGATTTTCTTCCCTCTTCTGAAACTGGTTGAACTACATTGTTCTTGGTAGTTTCTAATCCTTTATTCTCCGACTAAAAGAGAGAAAAACAACAAAAATACTTTTTCATGTTCCTGAAAATAGCAAAAAATAAAAAAAACTGTATGTGAATATTGGTATATTATCTGACATATATGGGAAGGGGGAGCACCAGGAAAGATGCACTAGAGAGAGAGATTTGAGTAGAGGTAACAAGACTGATTTAAAAAGCTATTGCTGTCATCAAGTGGATGAAACAAAATCCTGAACTAGGATGACAATAGTATGAAAAAGAGGGAGCATTTCAACAGCAGAAAACACAGAATTTGTCAAGGACAAAAGATGGGAATAAGTCAAAGATGGCTGGTTTCAAACTTCTAATAAAGAGATCACTCTTGAAACAAACCAATTTTAAAGTTTTCATTAAAAATGTATTATACATTTCATTCACAGAGTAAATGAACACATTTAGAATAGTTGAAGATAACACGATGACATCCTAAAACTATTAATCCCTATATTTGGAAGCCTCAAAGTTGAGGTGGTTCTTCATTTCCTTCATGTGGCTCTTTCAGTTCTTTTCTGTCATTTAAATTTGCTTCTTTCAACCAGTGATGTCTTCTCTCCTTACATATGATTGTAAGGGAATTAAGTCACTAATGCTGTTAAATTCTTCAGTGCTCTTTTCAAGGATATTCAAAGTGAGGTGGAGAGGTTCACAACTTCTCCTCAATAGCTGTAAATCCCAGATAGCTGATGCTGGTTAGGTACATATGGTGTAACAAACACACTAATTCCAGTAATTCCCTGATATTCATCCTATCTAATAATAGACAAACATGGTAATTAACCGTACCTCCGACACGCTTCCCATTGGCTAATCAGGGCGATATGCAAATTAACTGCCAACCAAGATGGCGGCCGGTAGCCAGGCAGCTGAAGCGAACAGGAGGCTTGCTTACTCCAGTGATGGAGGAAGCCAAGGTTCCCTGCCTGCTGCTGCCCAGCTCTGAGCTGCACTCTAAGCAACTATGTTGCAATTATAGAAGCTAAACAAACCCCAGAAACCTGCTTTCAGCCAGCCGGGCCTCAGAGCTGGAGTTGCAACAGTGTTTCAATTATAGAAGCTAAACAAAGCCCAGATATCTGCTTTCAGCAGCCGAGGTCTCAGAGCTGGAGCCAAGCCTCAGAGCTAAAGCCAGCTCTCAGCTCCAGTGACAGCCATAGAAGGTAAATAAATCCCAGAATAAAAAAAAAGAAAAAAAAGGAGAGGTTGGGAGCTTCAGTCCCCCGCCAGCCTGAAAACGGCCCTCAGCCCCTCACCCAGACTGGCCAGGCACCCCAGTGGGGACCCCCACCCTGAAGGGGGTGTGACCAGCTGCAAACAGCCATCATTCCCTCATCCAGGCTGGCCAGGCACCCAAGCGGGACCCCCACCCTGATCCAGGACACCCTTCAGGGCAAACCAGCCGGCCGCCACCCATGCACCAGGCCTCTATCCTATATAGTAAAAGGGTAATATGCAAACTGACCCTAACAGCAGAAGGACTGGGAATGACTGACCACCAGGAGGCAGACGCTCAATGCAGGAGCTGCCCTCTGGTGGTCAGGGTGCTCTCACATGGGAGGAGCTCTGCTCAGCCACAAGCCAGGCTGATGGCTGCCAGTACAGCGGTGGTGGTGGGAGCCTCTCCTGCCTCCTCAGCAGCGCTAAGGATGTTCGACTGCAGTTTAGGCCTGCTCCCCGCTGGCAAGTGGACATCCCCTGAGGGCTGCCGGGCTGCTGGGCTGCCAGAGGGATGTCTGATTGCCATCTTAGGCCCAATCCCCCCAGGGAGCAGGCCTAAGCCAGCAGGTGGTCATCCCCTGAGAGGTCCCAGACTGCGAGAGGGCACAGGCCAGGCTGAGGGACCCCCCCCTCCCCCAGTGCACAAATTTTTGTGCACCGGGCCTCTAGTTGTAAAATAAAGCAGTATGAGTTCCAGGATTCAGAAAGAATAACAACGCCACGATATAACAACTTATGCCTTTCCAAAAACTTACATTAAAATATTTCTTAGTTAGCATTCACAATAAATATTAAAGCAATAATACCATTATTTTTATACTTCCTAAAATAGGTATTTTCCAAGGATACCACTAAAACATATGAGAACAAGGATGACAAATGGGTTTCAACTCCCATGCAAACTCTTATTCATTAGTAGGGGCCACTTAGAGTCCTGTATTGAGGAGTATCCTGATTTATTAGGAAAGAGTATTGTAATCCATGTCACATAATATCTGTCATGAGCAAGGGAATAGCAGTTGATGTGTCATTGTTTTTGGTAGTTCCTAATCCTGGGTAATTTAGAGTTGAAAGAATTTGTGAACTTTGAATCAGAAATTATACATTCACTTTGGATGATTTACGTTAGGGGTTGGCAGACTTTTTCTATAAAGGCCAGTTAGTAAATATAAGTACATATATAAATGTGTTCTCCGTCATAACTACTCAATTCTGTAATTTTTGTGCAAAAGCAGCCATAGGCAGTACATGAAAGAACAAGTGTGGCTGTGTTCAATAAAACTTATTTACAAAAGCAGGCAGCATGCCTGAATTTGTCATGTGGACCATAGTTTGCCTAGATTTATGTTATAAGATTCTATGGACCATTTCAGCACTATGTTTCAGTAAATATGATATTATTAAATGTTAGATCTTAAGTTGAATGAACCCATGTATTGCATTTATTTAGTGATGTGATATAGTATTTATTTTTTGTATACACTGTGTCATTCTTTATTCTTGGATCTCCTCCCTATTCCGAAAACCAATACCTTAAATACAGTTAAACAGCAAAATGCATATTGCTCCAAAATACATAGAAAAATTAAATTTGAGTTCTAGATTAACAGTTTCAAATAGTTTAATCAAGTGATCTCCCAGCACTTTGAGGGCTGATTTCATACTAATAGTTAATGGTACTTACAGTTAAGTGCCAGCAAAACTGGGTAATAATACACCCCATAACCAAAAGCTAATTTTTCATCTGGAATTTTACTATCTTGATCACACATATTAGGTAATAGAAAATGATTTGTAACTGGGAGAGGTATTGCTCTATGCTTACTAAGACTTTTTAAAAATTCGTATAGCTATGGGTCCTGAGCAACGTTAATTAAAACTTACTTTTGTATTATTGATGTAATCTGTGGGATTCATCTGCACAGAACTAGTGAAAAGCTGAAAGACCAAACAAGAAAGATGGTAAGTTTAAAAAATAATAAAAAGCTATCTGTATTCAAAATTTTTATACAGCCATGTTGGGTGAAGAGATGTAGTTCCTGCACTAGGAAGCTCCTATAGAGTAAAATAAGTTGGGAAGAGAAAAGCAGAAAGCAAAACAGAGCAAGCTAGCCCATGAATTAGACATTGTAAAGAATCCTATATAATAAAAGGCTAATATGCAAATCGACTGAATGGCAGAACGACTGGTCTCTATGACGCACACTGACCATCAGGGGGCAGACACTCAACACAGGAGCTGCCTCCTGGTGGTCAGTGTGCTCCCACAGGGGGAGCGCCGTTCAACCAGAAGCCGGGCTCCGTGGCAGCACCAAGCCGTCAGTTGGATGTCCCCCCGAGGGCTCCTGGACTGCAAGAAGGTGCAGGTTGGGCTGAGGAAACCCCCTACCCCGCAAGTGCATGAATTTCGTGTACTGGGCCTCTAGTTTCTCTATAAAACTATAAAGTAAAAACTTGAGACAAATGGTGGTTTTCCACAGCTCCCTTCTTCATTTCCTTTATTTTTCTTCTCCCTAAATGCCTCGGGCCTTAAGTGCCAACCAGGACTGAGTTCATTGCCCTGACACTGTCTTCACTGACTATTTGCTAATCATGTGATAAATTTATGGAATCTGTTCTATGATAATGGCTCCTAGATTACAAATGGCATACCTCCTTGCTGGTTCTTTTCACCTCGCCTAGCAAGGGAAGCTATAAATGCTAAAATCACTGCTTACTGTACTCCTCAGGCCAGTTTACAGACATAACTTTTGTTTAAATTGTTAAGTGTCAAAGTCATTCATTCCATAGGGATTTATTGACCATATAATAATTAACATCATAAAGAATATAAAATGAATACACTATTCCTGCTCTTCAGGAGCTTACAATCTAAAAGACAAGAACAACAGCAAATAGTAACATATGATCATATACAATCCGTATTATAATAATAATGGATGGTGGAGCTAAAAAGTACTAAGGAGTTAAGAGAAAGAAAGAAGAAAAACACACAGACACAAACATGCACATACATACACAGAATAAACAAAATATCTGGATAAAGCTATGCAACATGTATCAGTCCCTGGGGAATGGTTGACTTGGAAAGGAAGGAAGGAGAAAAGAATACATTATGACATTAGCAATAACCAAGAAGATGACCAGTCCAAATAACACACAAGTTCTAAGTTGAATAGTAAGTTGTGTACATAAGGTTCAAAAAGTAAAGCAAGGCCAGTCAGGGAACAAGACGACATTCTCTCCACAGTAATAAGTGGATGGAGCAGTGAAATTTGGCAATTTCAGTATTTCCAGAGAACAAGCACAACAAACGGTTCACAGGATACAATGAAATACAGAGGCCACAGGCAGGTTCCTCCTCTATTCTATCTAGACACTGATTCTTTCAAAGTTCCACATTCATGGTAGACCTAAAGATATCCCAGCTCCTTCTTTTCTTTCATTAACTTTATCACCTACTGGTCTTCGAAGAGGAAGAGACTCGGTTCAGATAGCTATAGGAGACTGCCAGTCTCTGCAGTTCAGCTTAGAGGCCTAACCAGATTTTGTTCCTAAAGAGAGTGGCATATAAAGAGGCCCAACAGTGAAAGATCCCCGCTCATTCTTTGCCCCACTCCTCCTACACATTGACTCAGGATTGCCTTCATGTATTCCCAGCAGATGCATAGTCTGAACTAAAAAAAAGTAGATCAAGAGGAGGAGCTGACATAGTTGGGTTGAATTCTATGGCCAGACCTCTTCTGCCGACTCCACATGGGATCACTCATAACTGGACTTTGCAGAGAGAATCCATGAACTCTTCAGCATACTTATTTATCCCTTATTATTTTTGCCATCTCAGAGAACAAGGCAACCTACAGGTGGATTTTTTTATTTATAACAATACAGCATAATTCAAGGATGAGATAATTAAGGTCTAGGTAAGAGAGCCAATATTAGAAACAAAAAGCAGGGATGGCTTGTGAATGCTATTTTGAAAAATACTCAGGACTTGAATGATGAGATAAAGATCAGGAAGCCAAGATGCCTCTGTAATTACTATCCTGGGTGAGTGAAGTCTGGTATCACTACAGAAAATTAAAAATCTAAAAGGGGTATCTAGCTTAGAGAATAAAAAAAAATTTGGTATTAAACAGAATCTAAGGCAAGATCTGATGACTCTTAAAGGCATGGACTTAGAATTCAAGTAAGTTTACTTTAAAAAGTATTAAGAGCTGGAGATATACATTTGAGAGCAATTCTACAAGCACAAATCCCTTCAGAGAGGAAGGACAGAAAAGGAAGAGGAATAGAAAATAAGAGGATAAAAGACTGAGTACCTTTGGGGAAGACCCAAGTAGAAGTAGAAAACAGCAGGAAAAAAAAACAGTTTTTAGAGGAAATGGAGAATGTTTAGGGTGACAGGAGATAACAAAGGTCCAAGGGCTTCTAAAATCAACAGAACAAGTTCTGTTTTAGAAAATCAATAGTATAAATAATAATACTGCTAATTACTTGTAATTCTTATAACAGCTCTTCTGGGCATTAGCTACATTTTATAGATAGGGAAACTTGGAAAGAGAGCTTAATTTTTCCAAGGTTAATAATAACATAGCTAGTATAGTAAGAGGAGCCAAACGTAGAACCCAAATCTGATTCAAAACAAATGTTCTTCCACTAGCCCAGTGACCTTAATTGGGGGGGGGGGGCAGGAAATCACAGCCTACTTACTATGGATAAACCAAGGCAGCACAAGCTTAGAGTAAATAAGAAGATAATACAGGGTTTCAAATGAAATATAGAGTAAAAAAGAAGTAACTCATATAGCCACTCATTTCTAAATGGGTGAAAGGATTAGAAAAGCAGAATGGTAAATGAGCAGAGCAACATATCAAAATGCTTTCTAAGATGGGGAAGCATTAAAGGCAGATGGGAAAGATCAAGGATAGAGATAGAAAAACAAAGATGCAGGGGGGATGTGTACAAATTGGCTTTAAAGAGGAAGTACTTCCTGTAAGATGAGATTCCACATCTTATGAGAGGACCAGGAAGAGGTGAATTATCCTTTGTGAATAGGAAATAGTTGGCTGGATGAGGTCTTGAGGACAAACGAGTATGATAAATGTTTCAAAGTTGAATTAAAATAACCTAGTTGAAGATTACAAGGATTTGTAGAGGTTATAGGATTTTATTTTTTTCTTAGTAATCTAAGGGACAGATATTCTAAAAGGAACCTGGATTCAGAGTGGGGATTAAGACTGACAGAATTAAGAAGGTAAGTCAAGTTACTGTTAACAAGTTGAAGTAGGTCATTAACATGGATGCTGAATTCACTTAAGATGGTAACGTAGATTGGCATGGAAAAGAAGTCTTCAAAGAAGATGAAATCCATCCTGAGAGGCACTGAGTCTTTGGGAAAGATGATTAAGTCTTATGACACACAGACTGATGAGTAGAGAGATAAGGTGGTCAATTAAGATTGAAGAGGAAAAAAGAACTAATTCCTTTTAGCCTCATTGAGAAGCTCTTCAAAGGACAAAACTGTACACTCTTGACATGAGAGAAGCATTTTAAGTAGAAAAAAAATATGTCAAAACCTTCAAAAGGCAGAAATATGTTCACAACAGAAAATGAAAATGGGGAGAGAACCAGATTCATCTGGATGGGAGCAGGTCACAAAGGAAGCTTTAGGCAAGGGGAAGAGGGGTAATAGTTACACAAGGGACGAGAACAAGAAAGGTGGCTAGTGCCAGGAATGGTAGATGAGGATTCACAGACCAGACAACACTGGAGTCAAGTTCATAGAGGTGGTAGTGGGGACTGAAGCAGGAGAACATTAGGACACAGGACACACACATTATAAAAATATATCAAGTATAATACATTTGAATAGAAAATGTTAATTCCCAAAGTTAGTAAGTGCCTTCATGCTGTTTTCTGGCCACATATCTCTATTAGTAACTTTCACCAATTTCTATACAATGAAAATTTATTCTAAAGAAAACCATAATACAGCAACAAGTCCAGACAAGACTTAATAGTACTGTTGAACAGAGTTGATATGTTGTTACAGGGGGATTAACTGAACTGCTATTTATAGATGGGTAGTGATTACCTTCCTTCATTGTCTTGAACCCATCTGTTCAATCTTTCTGATAAACAAAACCATTATTTTTTTTAAATGCAAAAACAAGTGTAGAATACAAGAAAATGATATACTGATTTATAAATAACATACACAGAGACACAAACTACCAGTACAGCTAAGATTATTCAAAGTACCTACATCAACCAGGAGATCTGGGTCTATGCTAAACTGTCTTCCAGACAGCATGGCTTGGAAGTCCTCTAAACTGCAATCAATACTGTCAAGATAATCCAACAGCTCAACCCTAAGGAAAAAGATTTTTAAAAAAGAAATCAATTAGATTTTCCTGTTTTTATGTTTAAATTACACTGCAATCTAGCAAGGCAAAACATTTCCAGCAAAAGTGGAATCCTTACCAATTATCTTAGAGGTCCTATTCAGTATTTGGGATTCCTAAAAATTTGGTTAACCAAGAACTCACAGCACTTTTACATAAAACTTTAGTGTTTACAGAAAAAAGGTTTTGCAAAAACCGTCTGATTTCTTTCTTTCCTCTATATTATAAATTATTAAATGTTTAACTTCTTATTACTGGTCACTGCTACTAATTTCTGTGTGTTTTTTAATGCTAAAAATAAGTCCCTTAATAGAGGTATGTTATTCCATTATCCTGATATAAACACAAATACAATCACATATACTTTATGGACATTCAAAACAAATATTTTATTAAGAAAATCTGAGGAACTGCCAAAAAAATCCCAAAACTACCCTTGGAATGATTAATTCCTTCTCAAAACAGCATTTGTGGAGCTCAGCCCTGACCAAAACACAGAAAGGTAGACTACATGGGTTCATAATGTGAAAGGAAGGTCAATCAAAGAGAAAGAGAATACATGAAGTAAACAAAGAAAGAAAATAAATTTAGACATCTAAATGAACACTCACTTTCCCAAAAGATTGATGTTATCATTTAAAATGGAATCCATCATGGTAACAGGATCATCTGCAGTCAGACTGGAGGAGCCATTTAGCTGGATGGCACTAGACATGAGAGGACTAGTGCCATCACTGCCTGAACTTAGGGATTCTCTGGCTGGTTCATTCTGATCTCCACTCTGAATGACCGGTGCATATTCATCTTCATTGTCATCTTCAACAATGACAATATCAGGGTACTGGCTACAGCTATATCAACAATAGGAGAAAGAACCAATTACAGACCAATTCAATAAATTAATTCTATCCATTCCTTTTCCTTGGAAATTCTCTCCCCAAACCACATATCAAAAGGCTTAAATTTCTTGGGGGAGTATCTTAATCACAAATATTGATAGTTCATACGATATAAGACCACAAAGAATCAATTAAAGCTGTTTAACTACAAAATTAAAAAATCAGAATTCTCATTAGTTTTTTGTTGAGTCTTTTTGCTGGGGGTTGGGGGGGTGGGGGGGTTAGGAGGTATGTTATTCCATTATCCTGATATAAACACAAATACAATCACATATACTTTATGGACATTCAAAACAAATATTTTATTAAGAAAATCTGAGGAACTGCCAAAAAAATCCCAAAACTACTCTTGGAATGATTAATTCCTTCTCAAAACAGAATTTGTGGAGCTCAGCCCTGACCAAAACACAGAAAGGTAGACTACATGGGTTCATAATGTGAAAGGAAGGTCAATCAAAGAGAAAGAGAATACATGAAGTAAACAAAGAAAGAAAATAAATTTAGACATCTAAATGAACACTCACTTTCCCAAAAGATTGATGTTATCATTTAAAATGGAATCCATCATGGTAACAGGATCATCTGCAGTCAGACTGGAGGAGCCATTTAGCTGGATGGCACTAGACATGAGAGGACTAGTGCCATCACTGCCTGAACTTAGGGATTCTCTGGCTGGTTCATTCTGATCTCCACTCTGAATGACCGGTGCATATTCATCTTCATTGTCATCTTCAACAATGACAATATCAGGGTACTGGCTACAGCTATATCAACAATAGGAGAAAGAACCAATTACAGACCAATTCAATAAATTAATTCTATCCATTCCTTTTCCTTGGAAATTCTCTCCCCAAACCACATATCAAAAGGCTTAAATTTCTTGGGGGAGTATCTTAATCACAAATATTGATAGTTCATACGATATAAGACCACAAAGAATCAATTAAAGCTGTTTAACTACAAAATTAAAAAATCAGAATTCTCATTAGTTTTTTGTTGAGTCTTTTTGCTGGGGGTTGGGGGGGTGGGGGTGGGGTTAGGAGGGATATCTGGTTGAATAATTTGGCTTAATTTTTCAGTTTAATAACCCAAACATGAGTCAGATATTAGTTCATCGAAGAATAAAGTGTTTTTGAATTTAGCTCTTTGGTAAGAAAAGTAACTATTTTCATAAATGTTATTTCTCAATCTCCTTACTTTGAGGGATCAGATATGATATCTTCATTAGTTTCTGGAATAACTGGGATATTTTCTTCATCTGCATTATCATCAGTAACATCATAAATAATGATGTCATCTGAAATCCGCTCCCTTGGTTTTAAACCTTCAGTCCTACTGTGTGGAACCTAAAAAATCAGGGAGAAAAAAATACATAAAAAAATGAAATTATATTAACTCCAAAACATTATTTAAAGATGCTAACTGAGAACCTACTAGTTATTAAATGTTGACAATACAATAGTAAGCAAAACAGATATATTCACTGCTCTTCTTGGACTTATACACTAATTAGTACTAGTAGTGCAGAGGTATAAGGTATATTCTCTGCATTCTACTTAACTATTTTTTTTTTAAAAGGACCTCGAAGATGGCATGCCTCAGAATGCTTATATAAGAAAGAGCTTCAAATCTTCAAGTATTTTTCTATGCCCCAAAGCTAAAACGTCAGGATTTCACCAGAAATTTTCAAGCATAAACAGAAGGGCACTATGCTGATGAGTACTATTTCAACTCAAGATACTCTGTTTGATACATATTTTTTCTTACTCATTAAATGGTTTCAAAATAGAAAAACAAAAAAACTTCAACTATTCCAGTTAAATAACAGCCTGGTATTTTAGTAATGATTATTTTTAAAGATAAGCTACAGTCAGACCATAGGTACATTAACAAAAAAGCATTCAATTCTTTAAAGCAAACTGAAGTCATTATTATAAAGCAAAAATCTATCAATTTTAACACTAGAAAGTATAGAGGCAGAAGATGTAAAGTCTTTAAAAAATATATAAATCGAGTTAAAATAAAAATCTCATACATGAATCTTCCATCCTAAAAACAAAGTATTAGATATTCTTGATTAGAAACAGTGGTGGGAAGAGGAACCAGATGTTAGGTTAACTCTGATTTTCCTGAGAACAAAAATCTTGAAACTTTAATGATAAATGTCTAACAGTATTTAAAATTCTAAGATTTGAAAGTAACATTGATAATCAGATACTAAAGAAGCCTGGACCCTGGACTGGACTAATTTTCCACTGGATGTAAGTTTGACAAATTATCCAGTGAGCCTATGACAAAAATAAAGGTAAACAAAAATATTTTTTAAAAAATATGTTTTTATTGATTTTTAGAGAGGAAAGGAGGAGGAGTGAAGACAGAAACATTGACTGGTTGCCTCCTGCATGCCTCTCCCTGGGGAGAGCCTGCAATCCAGGCATCGGGGAACTGAACCACTGGACTCTTGGTGCATGGGCCAACGCTCAATCCACTGAGCCATGCTGGCCAGGACACAAAAATACTCTTTAAACTTGCTATCGTAAAAAAGTCTAGTCTGTGTATATTTATGATAAAAGTTGGAAATAACTTTAACCAATGGATGAAGGCATAATTACATTATCATAATATTCAATTAATATATAGTAATTGAGATGAAATAATTCTCGATTTAATAAATCTCAAAAGTAAGACCAAGTGAAAAAAAGCCACAAGGCAAAATGATATGTATAAAATGATATCATTTGTATGAAGTTTAGATATATATAAATAATAACAAATATTCATGGATTCACACATATAAAATGACTATGGAAATAATAAATACTAATTCAAAATAGTGATTATCTCTAGGTGACGGGAGACTGGATGGGGGAGAAAAACAAACTTGGGAACAGGCAACTAAGACAGCTATATTCATAATGGTTTAGCTCTTAAAATAATCTAATGCAAACAATGAAAAAAGTCATCCTATATAATAAAGAGGTAGTATGCAAATTAACCCTCACAAGATGGCTGCCTATGCCCAGCCGACAGGGGGGTTAGTGAAGGACGACCAAACGACTGAACAGCAGGCTGCGTGGGGCGACCAGGCCAGCGGGGGGCGGGGGCAGTTGGGGGGGACCAGGCCGGCAGGGAGGGGACAGTTAGGGGCGATCAGGTAGGCACGCAGAGGCAGGGAGAGGCGATCAGGCTGGCAGCAGGGGGCAGTTAGGGGCAACCAGGTGGGCAGAGAGGGGCAGTTGTGGGTGACCAGGCTGGCAGGGGGGGCAGTAAGGAGTGACCAGGCCGGCAGGGAGGGGACAGTTAGGGGCGATCAGGTAGGCACGCAGAGGCAGTGAGAGGCGATCAGGCTGGCAGCAGGGGGCAGTTAGGGGCGACCAGGTAGGCAGGCAGGTGAGCGATTAGGAGCCAGTGGTCCAGGATTGTGAGAGGGATGTCCGACTGCCAGTTTAGGCCCAATCCCCGGGTTCGGGCCTAAACCGCAGTTGGATATCCCTCAAGTGGTTCCGGATTGGAGAGGATGCAGGCTGGGCTGAGGGGCCCCACCACCCTGACCCCGTGCATGAATTTTGTGCACTGGGCCTCTAATGATTTAATAAAGCTGGATGATGAGCACTTAGATTATTACTCAATAAACTTCTTTGAATGCATGAAATGTAACTATTAATAAAAATTAGTTTGAGACAGTAAATATAAAAGTTAACAAAAAATTACTTTATGATGGTGATTATCAGCTGGTTCTTTGACTATGTGCTGAAATAGATTCTTCTTTTGGGCTCCATTAGTGTTCAGAAGTAGAGGCCTGAAAATCAAAAGATATCTATGAAGCAAACATACAAGGAATTTAAGCTGCTTCTACTACAAATACACTCATGGTAATAATGAATAGTAAGGATAAAATAAATTTTAGTAAGGATACAAAAGAAACTCTTAAAAATGATTGTATCTTAGAAATAGAAACTGGGGGATCAGTGTGCCTAAAAACTTATTTCTTCATTCATTTTTACTACTTTTGCTATAATAAATGTAACAAACTACTCTCTCCAGATATGTTTCATTGCTGACTGAACTATATAATTCTTTTTTTTTAATTTTTGCTTTTTGTTTTTTATCATTTAAAGTATTACAAATAGTAGTACATGTCTCCTTTTTTCCCCATTGGCCTCCCCTAACCCCCGGCACATGCCCTCACCACCCACCCCCCAGTGTCATGTCCATTGGTTATCCCTATATGCAAGCATACAAGTCCCTTGGTTGATCTCTTACCCACACCCACAACCCTCTCCTGCCTTCCCGCTATAGTTTGACAGTCTGTTTGATGCTTCTTTGCCTCTGTATCTATTTTTGTTCATCAGTTTATAATGTTCTTTATATTCCACAAATGAGTGAGATCATGTGATATTTATCTTTCACTTTGTTTTGATTTGCATCTCTCGGATGATTAGTGACTTTGAGCATGTTTTCATATGTCTCTTGGCTTTCTGAATGTCCTCTTCTGAAAAGTGTGTATTTAGGTCCTTTGCCCATTTTTTGATTGGATTGTTTATCTTCCTTTTGTTAAGTTGTATGAGTTCCCTATAAATGTTGGAGATTAAACCCTTATCGAATAACATTGGCAAATATGTTCTCCCATGCAGTGGGCTTTCTTGTTGTTTTGTTGATGGTTTATTTTGCTGTGCAGCTTTTCATTTTGATGTAGTCCCATTTGTTTATTTTCTCCTTAGTTTCCATTGCCCTAGGAGCTGTATGGGTAAAGATACTGCTACGACAAATGTCTTCTAAGATTTTTATGGCTTCCCGAAATCTTACGTTTAAGTCCTTTATCCATTTTGAGTTTATTTTTGTGTATGGTGTAAAATTGGTGGTCTAGTTTTAAGAACAGTGCTTACATGGTAAAAAATAAATAGGTAGTATCATAAGAACTAATTAGTGGAAGTAGGTTAATTAAGGCCACTGCATAAGCTGTAAGCATAACCAAGCTTTGCTAAAATCTTAGCCTTACAAGATAATCTTTTTCTTCTTCCAAATATTCCTTTGTCTATTACTCTTATGTATTAGTTGTAACAATGGTAGTTACTGACAATTATAGGTACCACAATCCATGGTTGACATACAGTCTTTTAAAGACCTTATGAATACATTAAACATATGATCAAGTAAAAAAATTTGTTTTCTTTTTAAAAGATATAACCTTTTAAAAAAATTTCCCTCAGATTTTCTAAAGATACATTAAGTTGCTAATGTAATTAAATACAGATTCTTTATTAACTGTATTTGTAAAGTGATCATTTAGGCTAACCTTATCTTTAAAAAACATGAGCAGGATGACAGCACGAGGAAGTAACATATTCTTGAAACATGAGTGTAATTTAACAAGGGAGGACTGTTCATCCAGGAAAATGGGCGTACACTCAGCAAATGTAGGCCATTCATGGTTAAACACTATAATTTTTGGTTGTCCATGTGTAAGTCAAAATATTTTATCATAAAATCTTACCTTTTACGTTTTAAACTCACAAGCTGGTTATTCTGAACCAATGTAACAATAAACTGGACAATCTAAAAGGAAAATATAAATATAATTTTTTTCCATCATAGACTCCCAGTTCTTTAGTCCACATTACACATCTTACAAAATTAATTCATATTGCATGTCCTCTATTCTAAGTCACATAATTTCTCCTATATTAGCACATTTGAAATTTGGATGCATCTTAAAATTGATATAGAAGAATAACCTGCGATAGATAAAGCTGCTACTACCTAGGATAGGAATGCCTAACCCACCCATCAACCCATCCATTTACATATCCAATATTCAGTTCAGTTAGTATTTGTTTTGGTGATACTTATCAAGCATGCCTGAATACAGATCCCAACTTTTAAAATTCTTTCAAGAATATTATGATGCAAAAATCAAACAAACAAAAACAACAACTGGTGTTTGACAGGCAACATTTTTCTTACACCAGGTAATATAATTAGAAGTAAAAAAAAAATTGCTAACTCTTTGCCACTAAATTGCTTACTCAAAAGAAAAATAGATCATAAAATGTTCAAGTTAGAAAGCTTATTGGCTGATTCTAGAAAAACTGTTGAGGCACTAAGTGCAATTACATTTGGAAGAAAACTATTAAACAGAGAAAGATATGCCACATTCCTTCATACTTTATGACAGGATTTCTTAATGGAGCAGCAGCATTGCATGCAAATTCTTAGCCCAACTCTAAAATTGCTAAAATCTTAAATTCTGAGGAGGCCCAGCTCCAGATGGTACTAATGTGAATGAGAACCATTTATGGTATGGTATGCCTTGAAATTATACTGTAACTTCCTAAAGGAGCTAAAAAAGTGAGTATCACATGGAGAATGAAAAACAGTATAGAGGCTACGAATAAAGAAAAAAGGGATTGGGGGACAATATGGACTCTGTGCAGAAAAGTTTCTTTTAAGCTTTGTGAAATGTAATTTCATGATTAAAATAAAGAATTGTCAAATAAAAAACCTATTGTATATCTTTAATATGTGTTCTCCCCAAAAGAAGTTACTAAATAGTTTGCCTTACAAATCAATATGAGCTTTTTCATGGAAAAGAAATATAAACATTTCATTTTATTTTTAATAATTTATTAAATTTACTGGGGTGACATTGGTTAATAAAATTATATAGGTTTCAGGGGTACAATTCTTTAATAAATCAGCTGTACTACTAATTATTGTGTGTTCACCACCCCAAGTCAAGTTTCCTTCCACCACCACAGCTAACCCTCCTTTCCCTCTGATAATCTCCATATAGATGTCTGTCTATGGGGGTTTGGTTTTTTCCTTATTTTCTTTTTTTCCTTAATCACTTCAAAATATAAACTTTTAAACTGAAGAGTCAGACATTAGAGTATATGAAAACATTAGCCACTAAATTGCTTACTCAAAGAAAATGCTGAGAGCTGACGAAAATACATTTATGCTTAAAGATATCTTTGAAATCATTCAACTTCAATTATTTTTTTTTCATTTATAAAAAAGTGTCATGGGAAAATTCTAGAAACATTAGTAATTGAATTTTTAAGAACATGAATCACTGGCTAAATTTCTTCTGAAATTCGTTCTACATCTCAGTTCTTTTTACACTTCTGCCATCTCACTGCACATGTAGTACATGTTAGATGCCTTATCTTCTTTATAACCTGAAGAAGATGAGGATCTAACATATACCACATCTGACTTCTGCACCTGACAAGTCCTATAACAGGTAACTCACATACACTATTTTCAATTAATCTAAGGCCAAGAGTAAATTGCAGAATTAAAAACCAATTCCAGGAATAGAGGAAAAAATGGTTGCCTATCATCATGCATTATATAAACTCCCTAACCTCCAACAAAACACATAGATTCAAACTCAAATCTGAGCAGATAGAATGTAAGCTTTCATGAAAAACTGAAATGTTATATAAGTATTTTACAAACTATTCTTGCCATTAGGGGAAAAAACAACAACAAATTACAGAATATTTTAAGTTAATATTTAAGCAAAATATTGTTTTCTGAAAAATGAGGAACAGATTTTTAAAATAAAGTAACAGGTTAAGGTACATTATCATTTTAAATCTGGTATTCTTAACAGGACTGCATGTTGAAATTAGCTATGGAAAGTTTTGAAAATATATGTAACTTGGACTCAGAACTGAATTTTACATTCAAACTTCACTTGCATAATAATTTAAAAAAAAAAAAAGCTATTTTGACCACAGGCCAAAGGTTGCACTACCATTCATCTCTCTTCTAAGCCTGTTCCACTAGATTCAAATCCTGTCAGTCATAACGCTATTTTTAGCTAAAGACCTCTGAGCATGGACAAGCTGAAGCGTTCCCACTACCCCCCCCCACCCAAAAAAAACCCCTGCTGTTTAGAGTCCAATTTACTCATGAGCAAAAAATAGCTACCTTAATTACTTTTATGTTTCACCTCTTATTAACATATGAAAGACGGTATGAATAGATTAAATCACAAGGATACAATGCAACAAAGAGACTCAGTTCCTCCAGCAATTTTCAGCTCAAATACTAAAACATAGGATTTATTTTACAACATTATATTAACTGCTTTTCTGCAAAGACTAATAATCACATATATTGATAACTCATTTTTTTGAACTCATAATTTGGTAGACTGATTTGAAAATATTGTTTATCTTCTGTACCTGTATCTATGCCTTTTAAAGTAAAAAAAGAATAGTAAAAACAAATGAACAAAAAACCCCCACATAATAAGGCTTTGTTTTTTATAGTAAAAACTGTGTAAGAAATTTGCAGTGTATTAATTATGCATCTAAGAATAAAATATTCTAAAGTTGTGCTATCAGGCAAAAGCCTCTTTATTAAAAGTTAATGACATATTAACTGGGAGTAAGAAATTACTATATTTAGCTAATATTTTTATTAAAAAGAATATTAACACTTGGCCTAATTTGTTTGATTTCTAATTTTACTTCTAGCTGTGCACCTAATATATAAGAAACTAAAATCAACCACGGACTATTCAATAGAGTATTCACAAATGGTGCTTATTAAAACACACGCAATTAAGATCATGAGGAAAAAAGCTTACCTTTCGAATAACTTGTTGCTGTTGCGCATGTTTTGCTCGTAATTCTGACACCTCCTTCCAAAGGGACTCATTCTCACTATGTTATCATTTATTTAAAAACAAAAAAATAAAAATTCAGTAAAAAAGCCAGGTCCCAATATATTTAATTAAGCATACCAGAGAATACCATAGACATAAGGAACTAGCTGATGGTTGCTAAGGGGGGAGGGGAGGGGGATGGATTTAAAGGCATGGGAATAACCAATTTTTAAAAATTAAAAATAAAGATTAAAAAAATACCAGAGAATTTAAGTAGCTTTTATTATATATTTTTATGAGACTAGAAAATCTTTGGTTCAATTATATAGATGACAATTATCTTGACACAAATCTAGAATCATTCCTTCATAACGGTAGTAGCTTCTACTCATGACACTATATTCACAAAAACTTAAGGCTCATGCCTCCATCCATATAGTAGTAGGCAATTTATTCCTCTGACAATCTGGTTCATTATTTCCTGTTTAAGCTAACCTTTCAACTATGGCTACCAAGTGAATTCAGTACTTGTGCTTAGGAAACAATTTTTAAAGGGAAGTGATATTTACCTAGCACTTAATATGCTCCAGGCACTATGATAAGCATTTTATATGTTCTAATCATTTAAACTTCTCTCAAATCCATCAGGAAGGGAATTATTATCTCTATTTTATAGATTAGGACTCTGAGACACAGAGAACTGAGAAGACCTGCCCAAGATCACACAGATAAATTTACTAAGGGTTAAAGTTGAACTAAAGTCTGTCAGACTCTAAAACTGTCTATCTTAAGATGTCTCAAAAACAAGCGTATGAAAACACTAAAAAAATATGTCTTTGAAAAGCATATTCAACTATATGACAAACCAATTAACTGGACCAGGAATAATACTTTCTTTTCCTTCATTCAACATTTATTGAAATTTCATTGCTATTAAATGTTAGCAGCAATGATAATGCTGAGAAGACATAAAAGATAATCCACCTATTACATGTTTAATATTCATTCTTTTGTTAATTTCCACAAAAGCCATCTTCCTCAATCCAAACTACAAAAAGAACTATATTTACAAATAAGGGGTATCGAAAATGAGACTTTAATACTTATAAAAAGAAATTATACTTTTTCTGACTTACGTCCTTTTCCCCCTATTTTTTATGTCCTACTTTTTCCTAAGAGACAGATCACACAGAAAAGTTTTTAAAAAGAAAGAATAGGTAGCACATGTAGTACTTTGTGTGCCCTCATGTGTGTGATCATATAAAAGCTAACCTAGCCCTGGCTGGTGTGGCTCAGTTGGTTGAGTGCCATCCTGTGCACCGCAAGATCACCAGTTCCATTCCTGGTCAGGGCACATGCCCAGGTTGCAGGTTCAGTCCCTAGTTGGGGTGCATGCGGGAGGCAACCAACTGATGTTCCTCTTTTACATCAACGTTTCTCTCTCTCTCTCCCTTCCTCTCTAAAATTAATAAAGATATATTTTTAAAAAAGAAAAGAAAAAAAGCTAACCTATGTAGAATCGTATTTCCTACACTAATTTAAAGATCTACTCTTTCACCAAATCGGCATGTGCATAATATTGTTTCGAATGCTCAGGTTTTTTATTCTTTCGACCACCATCATGAAGATACAATACTGGGGCAAAGTCTATGGCTACAAATTAAAAATAAAGAGAACCAATACTTACAGAAAAATGATCTTTGGCCTTGGCTTCAACAACATGATCTAAAAGTACTTAAAGCACTAACCTCCAATTCCCAACACACAACAAACACACCAACCCCATAATAGAATTATATTTGAAAATAATACTTTACCTTTTTAACTCAGAAAGCCTGGACTCAATAGTCTCTTGTTTTATTTGAACCTTCTGAGCACTACTTATAATTTTTGTTAAATCTTCCTGACGAATTTTATTTTCTTCTGGTTTTGAAGATGAAACCTTTCAAAAAGCAAATTTAGGATGTCAAACAAATGCCATGACTGTAATTCAAAGCTTCCCTATTAAAAAGGTTCTTATAGCGTGTTCAGGAAATTAATCGTTCCAAAAAGACCAGGATAAGATTCTAGGGAGAGAATACACTTCATAGCTCAGAGAGAGGATAAAGAATAATCAGTCTATTTTTTTTAAATGTGGGTAAGTTTCCAGTTTCCACAAGCAGGAACACCTTAAGGGCCGCCCCCCCCCCGCCCCCTTTCATTTCCTTCTGTCAAACTCCCTGTAATTTTCCCAAGCCTCTTTATTATCACATTCCATGTCTAATTAAATTTATGCAGTAATAGCTTGTTAGCCCATTTTCTTTCATGGCCCATTGCCTTTTTTTACCTCTCTATCCTCCCACCCCCATTTTCTGGATTTGGTAAAATATCTTATTTCAGTAAAAAATTCATTAAAAAGTGTACTGTTAAATGCCTACTATATACAAGAGACTCATTCTGGGCATTCAAATTCAGCAGTGAACTACATAAAAAGCCCTCCACGGAATTTACATTCTAGCAGGAGCTTACATTTTTTTAAGCTAAATTAAAAGGAGTGAGCTATCCCAATATGAATGACTCCTCATCCTCAGTCAGCATGCAAACATTTTCCTTCCCTTTTAAGGTGTTTGAGCACTCAGTATAACTCAGCACCAGGGAAAAATAATAGGGGGAAATAATTAAAACTTTATTAGTCTAAGTCATCCTAACAAAGAACACCAGTGTATTTCTATACATTCTCAGTTTCAACACTGATATAAGTCTCAGCCAAGTATATGACATGGTAATGCCCTAATTAAATCATGTTAACAATAGCCCACCTTCCTTTTAATGTTCTCCAACAAGTCATCCTGGCCTTGTTTGAAGTAAGGATGCTGAAATTCAACAGGACCATCTCGTTCCTGCTTTACAATTCCAGAGTCAATATGTACTACTTTACGGAAACCATCTGAAAAAGATTCAAAATTCAGATGACTAAAACAGAGAAGTCAAAATTTAATGGTGCTTGTATGCAGTATATTTCCTCTTTATCATTCTAATAGGAAAAAATTGTTTAATCAGTGGCTGATGACAGTACTCCAAATAAACTGTTGTCCATACTCACACATATTCAGTTGCCTCACAAAGCTTGCCATGTTATTGTGCTTGAAGTATTTGGGAAGTATTTCTTTCGCAAACCTTTGTTCATCCAAAACCAGAAAACTTTGACCATTCTGAAAAAATAAAAAAGTCAAATAGTTAAGGTCCTCTGACATGAGATTGTATATAAGAACCCCCAAACTGGGCAATCCTTTTATGATAACTTCAGACCAACAATTTGTAACTGTTAATGGCAACAGAAACAAACTCCAATTAAGTGCCAAACTGTAATTAAGCTTTTGATGCCAACATCAAAAGCTCAGACCCAGCCAGTGTGGCGCAGTGGCTGAGCATAGACCTATGAACCAGGAGATCACGGTTCGATTCCTGGTCAGGACATATGCCCAAGTTGTGGTCTCGATCCCCAGTGTGGGGTGGGGTGGGGTGTGCAGGATGCAGAATCAGTGATTCTCTCTCATCATTGATGTTTCTATAGTTCTCTCCCTCTCCCTTCCTCTCTGAAACAAAAAACAAAAACAAAACAAAAGCTCAGGAGTATGTCTCAACCCAAAACCTGCATCATGCTCTATAGTGAAATATTAGAAAAATTCCCATTAAATCAGAAACAAGAAAAATAAAAAAAAATATGTACATAGCATAATTATTTAATATTGTTTTAAAGCCAACAAAATTAGACAAAAATAAGATAAAATTTGAGAAAAGTACTATCATTTTTGCAAGCATAATTGTATCTTTGTACCAACTGAAAAACTATATGAGAGTTTAGTAAAGTACCTGGTTACTAATTAATACGTAAAGTCACTAGTGTTCTTTCATACCAAAAAATAAACAACTTGAAACTTACTAGAATACAATAATCAAAACAGCATGGTACTAGCACAAAGACAGACAGACCAATAGAATAGAATAGAGAGCCCAGAAATAAATTCTTGCATATACAGTCAAAGGATTTTTATAAGGGTGTCAAGACCATTTAATGAAGAAAGGACAGTCTTTTTAACAAATGATGTTGGGAAAACTGGGTACTAACATGCAAAAGAATAAAGTCTGAACCCTTATCTTACATCATATACAAAAATTAACTCAAGTGGATGAAAGACCTAAATTTATAAAAATTTTAGAAGAAACCATAAAGAGAGGCTTCATGACATGGATTTGGCAGTGATTTCTTGGATAACACCAAATCACTGTCAACAAAAGCAAAAATAAACTAATGAAGCTACCTCAGAATAAACACTTTTGTGTAAAAAACACTATCAAGAGTGTGGAAAGGAAACCCACAGAATCAGAGATATTTGGAAATTATATATCTTACAAGGAGTTAATATCCCCAATATAAAAAGAAAGCTGACAACTCAACAATGGCAAAAACAACCAACCTGATTAGAAATGGGCAGAGGATTTGAATATTTTTCCAAAGAAGATATACAAATGGCAATAAACACACGAAAAGATGCCTAACATCACTAGTCATTATGGAAATGAAAACCAAAACCACAATATACTACTTAATAGTCATTAGAATGGCCATTATTAAAACACACACATGGGAGGGAGGGCACAGAAAATAAGTATTGGTAAGGACGTAGAGAAATTGGAATGCATGTGCATTGTTGGTGAAAATGTAAATTAGCGCAGTCACTGTGGAAAACAGTAGGGTGATTTCTCAAAAATTAAACACAGAATTACCATGCAATTCCCTTTCTATATATATACCCAAAAGAGTTGAGATCAGGGACTCAAAAGGATATTTGTACACCCATGTTCATAGCAGCATCATTTACAGTAGACAAAAAGTGGAAGCAATCCAAATGTCCAATGGCAGGTAAATGGATAAAGAAAATGTGGTATGTATATATATCTATATATCTATATCTATATATCTATATCTATATCTATAATAGAATATTATTTAGCCTTAAAGAGGAAGGGAACTGAGACATGCCACAACATAGAAAAATCTTGAAGACATTATGCTAAGTATAATAAACTAGCCACAAAGGGACAAATACTGTATGATCCCACTTATATGAGGTATTTAGAATAGTCAAATTAATAGATACAGTAGTTAGTAAGCTAGGAGGAAGGAGGGAATTGAAAGTTATTGTCTACTGAGTACCAAGTTTTAGTTTGGGAAGATGAAAAACATTCTGGACATGGATGGTAGTGATGGCTGCATAACAATATGAATGTACTTAATGGCACTGAACTATATACCTAAAAATGGTTAAAATGATAAGCCTTGGCTGGGTGGCTTGGTTGGTTGGAGCATGGTCCCATATACCAAAAGGTTACAGGTTCAATTCCCGGTCAAGGTATGTATACCTAGGTTATGGGTGTGATCCCTGAATGGGGTGTGTATGGGAAACAACTGGCAACCAATTGATGTTTCTCTCACATGGATATCTGTCTGTCTCTCTGTCGCTCTATCCCCCTCAAAAATCAATAAAAACATATCCTTGGATAAGAATTTAAAAAATAATTAAAATGGTTAATTTATGTTATGTATATTTTATCACAACCACAATTAAAACATAAATGGAATAAAAGATTCCAACAATAGAAAAGTATCTAAAAATAAAATTTAAAAATATACAAGACCTTTCAGAAAATATTAAACTATTGAGGGACGAATACACGGTTGTAAAACGGTTAATTCTGCCTAAATTAACCAATACATTAAATTCTCTCTCAGTTGAAAAAAAACACACGATTTTTGGAGGCAAGGTGAAGAGCAGCTAACACAAGGAAATATTAAGTACTGAAGTTCATTTGTAAAAATAATTATTTAACAACAGGTAAGAAAATACTAAAAACAATTGGGAGAGAGGTGTTAATCCTATCCCATACAGATGGTAGAATCATGGTGTTTACAAAACCATGGTATTTCTTTAGTTTGGTACTAAAGAAAGGAGAGACTAGAGAAGACAGAAGAAGCAAATCTGTCTGAGAATTTAAAAGATAAGTAAGGTAGCATTCAAAGCAGGGGATAAAATCAACAGGGGAAAGGATTAATAAACTCTCCATGTGGAAGGAAAAAAACAAAAACTGTCTGCAACCTCACTTTTTACAACCAAGTTTTTGGAAGCATTACATACATGATAAACCCAGAAGCAATACAGGTAAAAAGTAGTAATTTTATTCATGGAGACTGCTACTTGCCTACCTTATTTCCAAATTCCTTTACTTTTTACATTTATTTTTGTATCTTTCAAAACTAAAATTGTATGTAGTTAAGGTATAGAATACAATGATTTGATATATATACATACACAGTGAAATAACTACTAGTCAAGCTAATTAACATATCATCTACATCAAACTGAAAAGCCTCTGCATACCAAAGGAATCAACAAAATGAAATAACCTAACAAAATAAGAGAAGATATTTGCAATAATTTATCTGATTAAGAGATCAAAATCCAAAATATATAAGGAGAGCATACAAGTCAACAGTGAAAAACAAACAAAAAACATGAACAACAAACCACCACCAACACAATTAAAAAATGGGCAAAGGATATGAATACACATATTTCCCAAAATGACATACAATTAGCTAACAGGTATATAAAAAGGTGTTGAGCATCACTAAACATCAGGAACATCGAATCAAAATCAATGTGGTATCACCTCATACCTGTGAGGATGGCTAATTATAAAAAAACAAAAGACAATGGGCTGGCAAGAATGTGGGGGAAAGTGAACTCTTGTATACTGTTGGTGGGGGTGTACACTGGTATAGCCATTATGGGAAACAGTATGAAATTTCCTAAAAAAATAATAATAAAAATAGAACTACCATATGATCCAGCAACCCCTCTTGAGTATATACACAAAGGAAATGGAATCAGTATCTCAAAGAGATATCAGTGCTCCCATGTTCACTGCAACACTATTCACAGTAGCCAAGACACAGAAGCATCCTAAGTGTCCATCCACTGGAAAAATGAATGAAAAAGTTGTGATATATATATCTATAGTAATACAAGCGTAATATGCTAATTAGACCGGACATCCTTCCAGACGACCTTCCGGATGAAGCTGGGGCTGCAAGAGAAGCCCAAGTCCCAGGTGCCTGCAGGTAGTCGGAAGGAAGGAAAGGTCCCGGGTGCCAGAGGGAAGCTGGTGCTGGCAGCCAGGGGAAAGAAGGCCTACTCTTGCATGAATGTCATGCATCGGGCCTCTAGTAAGTATTTAAGTATATAAATGTATGTGATATATATAAAAAATGTCCCACAATGTCACATTATATACCTTTAAAAAAAGAAAGAGATCCTGTCATATACAACAACATGGATGATCCTCTGTTTTCTTACTAACTGAAATACAATTTTGTTTGATGCTGAAACTACATTTCTCAGTCCCCTTACAATAAGAGGTGGCCAAATAACATACCTGACAAAAGTAGAATATATTCAGTGAGGCTTTCAGAAAAGCTTCTAAAAGGGGAGAGATTCAAACTATCTAATCCCTATATCCCATATCCCTGCTTGGAACTTGTACTCCAGCAAACCCCTGAAGTAGAGGAACAAAGTATGGCTGAAAAAAACAGAGGGTGACTGGGCATCTTCAGATGTAAGAGAAAAATACACCTTTTGTTACACTACTCTTGTTTGGATTTCTATTACTGTGTCTAAACTTAACTGATAATAAAATTATTAAAATAGATTAAATAAAGTTGAAAGACTATTAACATAAAATATTTTTTAAATTTATGATGAAAAATTAACTGCACTGATTAAAAATTTCTAACAAATGAAAAATCCAATGTGAATTTTAGGGAGACTGTTTCATTTATAATTGAATATACAGCAAAACAAATAATTTTCACTTATTAGATTGGCAAAATTTAAAAAGTTTGATAACTAGTGTTGGTTATCAGGTAATAAATTATAAATTCATACATTTCCCCCCATTTTCAAAGGACTTTCCCTTTACTTTAATTCCTTCTCAATCTACCCACCCCATTTGTCTTTTCCTTCACTGCAAAATTTAACAAACGAATACTTTGAAGTCTCTTTCTGCAATTCAGGACCATCTACTAACTTTCACTAAAAATTGGTTTCTGTTTCTCACTCCACTAAAACCATTTTTTCTAAAATGTCAAATGACAAATTCAATGCCCTCTTTTCAGTCCTGATCTTCCTACACCTGAGTCATTTCATTTGGCATTACTGACAATCTCTTCCTCTCTACTTTTGGCTTTGAAACTCTACACATTATTGACTTTTATTTCTTACATTTCCTTTCAACTGCCTTCCATCTACCAAGATGTA